AGTGGAACGGGCTACTAGAAAAGGTCGGACATGAATTTCTTGGCTGAAATTTCGAATTTTCATGTTTATTTTGTCACTAATTCAATTTCAAGAGGTGTTTCTGAAAAGATTTTTCACGAAAAAACTAATGGAACCACTCGTTCAATTCTTCGTTTCATATTTTTGAAAGTTTAAGCTTTCAAAGTTTCCAGATTCTCCCAGACTTCTCCTTTTGACTCGGTCCAGTGTGCGCCGAAGGAGCGAAGAGATGCCACATCTCAGAAGCTTACTAAAAATGCAGGGTGTCAGCGAGCAGCGATCGGGAAAATGGAGATGTTGCATGTGTGAGGAATTTGCGATTTGACTATTGATTCTTATGTAAAAGTTCGCGAGAAACACGATGGTGCCACTGGTTTCCTCTGAAATCAACTCCCAAGCTCAAAAAAAGCTCTCAAGTTGAGGCCAAAATGGAGGGGGTATCCCACGCTATCCTGAGAGTCCACCTCTACATCAAGACAATCTCTCCATGCAAAGATAGGGAGCAAATACATTGACAGGGCTGCCACTTCATTTGGGGACTCCAAAACTGAAAACACGGCAACCCTGCTAATGTACTTGCTCCCTATTTTTGCATGGAGAGTTTGTTTTGATGTAGACGTGGGTGTAGATTTTTCAGGCAATCTGGCAACTTGTTACAGGAGAAACATACTGCAATCAGTGGTAATAATCTAAAACCTCGTGCAGTAAGTATCCTTCGTCCTAAATGGAAAGAAAACGACACTGATCAGTGATCTGCCGCTCGATTTGTGGCGATCGCGATTAACGTTATAGGTTTCCAGCTTTGCGTATACTCTGGGACTCTGGGACTTCGTTCTATCCCATTTACCTCATTACACTTTGCTCTTACGTCCCAATTTCTGGTAAATGTATTCGTCAGAAAACGTTTCCCTCCTTTTGTCGGTTCCCAGGCAAAGGAACATAACTCCTCTCCGAAGTTGCAAAACTTCCACTCTTAAGGTGATTCGATGGACGGCATATTTTGTGTCAGAACGACATGCGATATATCGCATCAATTGGTTCCATTTGTTCAGCTACTCGTCATTTTTCTCCAATTTTGAGATCGAAATTCTGTTGTCAGGAGACTAAAGCACTCACCTACCGATTTTAACAAAGATATTCAACGTAATAAAGGCGTGGTTTTTTTAAAGAGAAAATATCACAGTCGAGTGCAGTTTCGATATCAGTATCGAATGCGATGTTTTCTCTCTAAAAAAAACCACGCCTCTAGTACGTTGAATTTCTTTGTTAAAATTGGTTAGGTAGTGCTTTAGTCTCCTGACAACAGAATTGCGATCTCAAAATTGGAGGAAAATGACGAGTAGCTGAAAAAATGGAACCAATTGATACGATATATCGCATGCCGTTCTGCCACAAAATATGGCGTCCATCGAATCAGCTTAAGTTGTATTTTTCGCTCGCATTCGCGGGAAAAATCAGCTTTTTGATGTCATTACTGATTGGTATTATATAGGATCACCGCATGCAGCTCGGATTCTAAAGATTTTTGTTGTTGTTGCTGTTTTCTGCACTCCATTTTTCCCGCGCTAAACACACCGCAAACTGTACCAAAATCAACACAAAATTTAGGTTGGTTTGCGTTATTACACTTCCTATATTGACCAAAAGTAACACAAGAACACAAATATTTTTATCAGAGTACTTGGGTACTGCTCTCATTGGCTCTCCGGTGGAGTAATCAGAGATGGAAAATTTCATGAAATTTATCCGAGTAAAATTTCACGAAATTCCATGATTGAAACTTTTGGGGATGGATTCAGGAGGCTAAGAAACGCCTAGAAACAGTGATTCTAAATTTTGAAAATGTTTACCCCAAGCCTAAATCATTCGCGCGTTGCTAATGTTTTCGTTTAGTTTAGAGGTTAGGCTGGGGTTTTCCCCTCTAAACTTCCTTTTTTGCCCCCTCTTTGTGTCTGGCACCTTCAGTAGAGTAGCATAATACCGCAGCATCAACAGAAAGACCATCTGAAACGCTTTCAGACCTCCAAAGGTTTAATCAATAATTCTGAACAAAATTAATAAACAACTTTTGTGAAATTTATTCGAGCCTTATGAAATTTCATGAAATTTCTAAACGTGAAATTTCACTTTCCATCTCTGGGAGTAATGCTCCTTACGGCTGTTTTGTCGGAAACAAAATCAATTTTTGCACACTTAAGGCTTTCTCATATGTTTTGTTTTTTTACACAACTTTAATAAGACGAATTGTGCTGTTTTATAGCTGTTGTATGAATTCCACCTTAAGGTGATTCGATGGACGCCATATTTCGTGTCAGAGCGGTATGCGGTATATCGCATCAATTGGTTCCATTTTGGCGCGTATACGTAGTATACCGTCTTTGCGATCGTTTCGACCCCCCCCCCCCCCCCCCCCCCCCCCCCCCCCCCCCCCCCCCCCCCCCCCCCCCCCCCCCCCCCCCCCCCCCCCCCCCCCCCCCCCCCACC